TTTTGTCTTTTTTTTTAACTTCAATGAGATGGAAACAAATGAGCAACTCACTGTGGACTCAGCTCGGGATATGATGTCAGATATGCTGGAGAGATTGCACATTTTATGGGAATTATTACTTGTGTGTACTTAAGAGTACTTAGTAATTTAACAATCTGTTTGTGTATACCATTTATTTAAGAGTTATAAAACTTTATTTTCATTTACAAGAAAAAAATTATTTTCAGATACGATGTGCATGGCCTTCATTAATTTACTGAGGCATTATTTATAAAATATTGTACACTTTTTGTGCCAGACTTCCTTCTCTTTTTTGTTTTTGTACCCATTGTGAATCAATTTTAAAACATTTGTCAGAATGAAACAGTAAATTTGAAAAAAGTCTGTCAGCTAGACTTGTCAAATTACGAAGAAGAATGATTGCTCTTCTTGAACCTGAATGAAAATAATCTGTTAACAGCATAGTTGTTTCAATTTTTCTAAACTGTGGCAACATACATCTTATTGACAAGTGTGGCAAGAGGACGAAAAACCTTTAATATCATATTGATGATACAAATTATTGGGAGTCAGAAACCAGAACTGTCCATGCTTGCTGTGTTGAAAAAGAATATGGTGGTTAAGCCACAAGCAGTTAACAAACAGCAGCAGAGAACATTATCTTGTTGTTTGGAATATATTGGAAGGGATGACCAAAATCTCACTAAACTTGCCCATCTAATAGTATTCTACCTTGCCTTGCCTTTTGTTTTTTTGCTTTATAAAGAAGAGATAGAAAAGTTTGGGACATTGAAAGAACCAGAGGGGTAAGAGCAGATATTGTTGTGTTCATTCATACTGGTAAACTGGTTTTGGACCAATTTATTGTACTGGTCGAACTATCCACACTAAATTTCAGAGTCTTACTTTTTCTAATGCAGAATGAATTAAATCAAATGGGCTGTCATAACTGTTTGTGTTTTGAGACTCTTGCCCTGAGTCGTTGTATCTCCCAACAAGAGTATT